GCTGTTTTGACTCACAGACTGTAAGTACATTTATATTTAAAGGATTTGCCACTGATGATTCAAACACGAGTTTTGAGCAGTGTAGAGTAGCGCTTGTTTTTAGTCGTTTCTCTGATCACAAATGCAGACCTGGTTTTATGTTTACGCGGCGCGGCGCGATGCAACGCAACGCGTAAAAAGACGGTATAAGTCATTATAATCAGTAATCCCCACAGGATGCAACAAATGCCTCGTTTATAATGGGTTTTATTGGTTTTGTTTCGTCATGCCGGGAAACGGCATCACAGTATAGTAAGGGGCGTAACATTTCAGTCACACGCTTAAGGAATTCGGCCAATCTCAACGCACTGGATAGCTGGCCAATCAGAGCCCACCTCGCTTTTCAGAACGATGAGCTTTGTAAAAATCGACACGTTTCAGAAAGGCGGGGCATAGAGAAGAAACAATAATGTACAGTATGTGAAAAATAATGTGTTTTTTTAACCTTAAACCGCATAAACACATTTCATTACACCAAATAAACAAAATAATGTTATTTTTTAGCAACGTCATATGACCCCTTTAAGGGATCTAAAATATGGTCAAGCAGAATAAGGCATTAATATGTGCTTTATACATGCTAGTAATATGCATGCTAATCAGCAACTAGTTAATAGTGAGAACTGGTCCTTAAAATACAATGTTACCATTTTTTTCAAACCAAAGTTTGACTTTTTCATTATATAAACATTGTGTTTTTTAGATATAATTTGAGGTACTGTTAATTACCTCATCGTTATGCCCTGATGTTTGACAGTGGTCTTACCAGTTCTCTGGGCAAAAACTCCTCTTGTCTTCCAACTACCAGAGACACGGTTTCTCCCAGTTTGGTGCTCCGCAGCATAGCCACCAGTTCCTCTTGTGTGCGTCCTGTGATGTCCACTCCATTTACCTAGAGAAAGAGAGAAAGCTATTGCCTGTAACTGCCAAAACGGAGAGCAAAATTTCCATTTACACAGAGATGGAAAACATGTCAGTGTCAATTCCATCTCATGGCCAGGTGCAATACAAGACAGACAATTGGCCTAATTATGTCAAAGATGCATTAAGCTTTCTGAAACAATATCTTTAAATTGCATTTAAAACAATAACTTTTAATTGCATGACTGGTGGGCGAGGAATAGCATAATTTAATGTCCTATAAATAAACTGTGATTTCGCATTTTCCAGATTGTGCTCTCATGATTGCATTGACGCAGGATGCATGTAATACCTCCAGGATACGGTCTCCAGACTTGAGCCGTCCATCTTTAACAGCAGCTCCGCGGGGCAGGATGCTCTTGACCATAATGGGTCCTGGACCATGAAGGGACAAGTCTCTGGTTACCACGGTGAATCCAAGGCCCTCCGTACCTGCAGACAGAGGAAGGCCAGAAATATTAAGCATGTATTTAATGACCCAGTGAACCAGAAAGCCTGAACTGAACATATTTTTCCCTGCTGTATGATGTAAAATAAATAACATTCTTCTAAGGTTCCAGTCATAGACAAAGTGTGTTTGCATTTACACCCACAGTTCACACTCACTGTAGTACCAAATAAAATTGAGATCTTTTTAAGACGTGTTGAAAAACTATGTAATTGTTCCACTAAAATCCCTTCCACAATGTCCTGAAGACTTGCTAACATTCTAAGGCTCAATTTTCAGCAAGGAATATTGCCTTGGATTTCACCTCAATACTATTCATACCAAGTGAATTGATCATTTTCGTCATGCCATGAGAAAATGTAGCAAACTTAAATGTATTATGTCTTATGTGTATTATGTATTATATATTTTTTTTTGCAATGAATATTCAACTTTTTTTTTTATTAAGAGGTTTGTAGCATTGGAAGTTTTTCATTTTAATTTTCAAGATTTTTTTTATTTGAATATTTGTCGAAGACAACTGCCAATGAAAATTCAATTTAAAGGTTTGGCAAAGAAAACTGCCAATGAAAGTTCCATTTAAAAGGCTTCTCAAAATTAAAATGTGAATATTTGAATTCAAATTTTGTCACTATGAATTTTTGAATTACGGATTTGTTTAAAAGTCTGTAACTGACATGAAAGAAACCATAAAACATGAAAGTACGTTGTCCAATATTATTGCATTAATTTTCAATATCTACTCCTAGTACATTTCATTAGAAATTTACTTCATTGTCAATAGAGTGTCACTATTATCACTGAAATCTGGCTTAGAAATTACTGACTACCAATATGGGTTTTTCAATAGCGGATACTGATGTCTGGAGAGCAAGATGGTGAAAATGATGCAAAGAATATATACATCTATATACGTGTATGTATATATAATGTATATATAACATTTAATGAGAGCATACAAGCACCAGCTACCCGTTATGACCCTCATAGATCTTTACAGACTGTATCCAGCTTATCCGATCCAAGATCAGGTCAAAAGGTCAGTGGTAGGCTGATGATAGCTTTCAAGCACTCTGGATTGATAACCTGTGTTTAAACTGTCGATTTCTCTGCAGAGGTTCGAACACCTCTGTTTCCAACCCTGCACGTTGATAAATGTTTCCTTATGGGGATTAGACAGCTCTGCACTTTAATTTCACACGTGAACACATCTACAGGAGACTAGAGATGCAGAGAGCAGGATACAGGATGAAGAGAGAGAGAGAGAAAGAGAAAGAGAGAGAGACTGTGTGAAAGAGGAGCGATAGAATCAATGACAAAGGGTGTGGTCTGAAAAAAACTGATTAGAGAATCGACACGTTTCAGAAAGGCGGGGCATAGAGAAGAAACAATAATGTACAGTATGTGAAAAATAATGTGTTTTTTTAACCTTAAACCGCATAAACACATTTCATTACACCAAATAAACAAAATAATGTTATTTTTTAGCAACGTCATATGACCCCTTTAAGGGATCTAAAATATGGTCAAGCAGAATAAGGCATTATGGCCTTTCGCACCGCTTTAGTTCCAGAACTAAATGTACAGTACTGAAGTACTGGGACGATTTTGCACAAACTATTTCCCAGTACCATTTAAAGGGTTGCATTCGCACCGACAGTGTGTACTAAGACTTTTTCATTATATAAACATTGTGTTTTTTAGATATAATTTGAGGTACTGTTAATTACCTCATCGTTATGCCCTGATGTTTGACAGTGGTCTTACCAGTTCTCTGGGCAAAAACTCCTCTTGTCTTCCAACTACCAGAGACACGGTTTCTCCCAGTTTGGTGCTCCGCAGCATAGCCACCAGTTCCTCTTGTGTGCGTCCTGTGATGTCCACTCCATTTACCTAGAGAAAGAGAGAAAGCTATTGCCTGTAACTGCCAAAACGGAGAGCAAAATTTCCATTTACACAGAGATGGAAAACATGTCAGTGTCAATTCCATCTCATGGCCAGGTGCAATACAAGACAGACAATTGGCCTAATTATGTCAAAGATGCATTAAGCTTTCTGAAACAATATCTTTAAATTGCATTTAAAACAATAACTTTTAATTGCATGACTGGTGGGCGAGGAATAGCATAATTTAATGTCCTATAAATAAACTGTGATTTCGCATTTTCCAGATTGTGCTCTCATGATTGCATTGACGCAGGATGCATGTAATACCTCCAGGATACGGTCTCCAGACTTGAGCCGTCCATCTTTAACAGCAGCTCCGCGGGGCAGGATGCTCTTGACCATAATGGGTCCTGGACCATGAAGGGACAAGTCTCTGGTTACCACGGTGAATCCAAGGCCCTCCGTACCTGCAGACAGAGGAAGGCCAGAAATATTAAGCATGTATTTAATGACCCAGTGACCCAGTGAACCTGAACTGAACATATTTTTCCCTGCTGTATGATGTAAAATAAATAACATTCTTCTAAGGTTCCAGTCATACAGTCATAGTGTTTGCATTTACACCCACAGTTCACACTCACTGTAGTACCAAATAAAATTGAGATCTTTTTAAGACGTGTTGAAAAACTATGTAATTGTTCCACTAAAATCCCTTCCACAATGTCCTGAAGACTTGCTAACATTCTAAGGCTCAATTTTCAGCAAGGAATATTGCCTTGGATTTCACCTCAATACTATTCATACCAAGTGAATTGATCATTTTCGTCATGCCATGAGAAAATGTAGCAAACTTAAATGTATTATGTCTTATGTGTATTATGTATTATATATTTTTTTTTGCAATGAATATTCAACTTTTTTTTTTATTAAGAGGTTTGTAGCATTGGAAGTTTTTCATTTTAATTTTCAAGATTTTTTTTATTTGAATATTTGTCGAAGACAACTGCCAATGAAAATTCAATTTAAAGGTTTGGCAAAGAAAACTGCCAATGAAAGTTCCATTTAAAAGGCTTCTCAAAATTAAAATGTGAATATTTGAATTCAAATTTTGTCACTATGAATTTTTGAATTACGGATTTGTTTAAAAGTCTGTAACTGACATGAAAGAAACCATAAAACATGAAAGTACGTTGTCCAATATTATTGCATTAATTTTCAATATCTACTCCTAGTACATTTCATTAGAAATTTACTTCTGGCCAATCAGAGCCCACCTCGCTTTTCAGAACGATGAGCTTTGTAAAAATCGACACGTTTCAGAAAGGCGGGGCATAGAGAAGAAACAATAATGTACAGTATGTGAAAAATAATGTGTTTTTTTAACCTTAAACCGCATAAACACATTTCATTACACCAAATAAACAAAATAATGTTATTTTTTAGCAACGTCATATGACCCCTTTAAGGGATCTAAAATATGGTCAAGCAGAATAAGGCATTAATATGTGCTTTATACATGCTAGTAATATGCATGCTAATCAGCAACTAGTTAATAGTGAGAACTGGTCCTTAAAATACAATGTTACCATTTTTTTCAAACCAAAGTTTTACTTTTTCATTATATAAACATTGTGTTTTTTAGATATAATTTGAGGTACTGTTAATTACCTCATCGTTATGCCCTGATGTTTGACAATGGTCTTACCAGTTCTCTGGGCAAAAACTCCTCTTGTCTTCCAACTACCAGAGACACGGTTTCTCCCAGTTTGGTGCTCCGCAGCATAGCCACCAGTTCCTCTTGTGTGCGTCCTGTGATGTCCACTCCATTTACCTAGAGAAAGAGAGAAAGCTATTGCCTGTAACTGCCAAAACGGAGAGCAAAATTTCCATTTACACAGAGATGGAAAACATGTCAGTGTCAATTCCATCTCATGGCCAGGTGCAATACAAGACAGACAATTGGCCTAATTATGTCAAAGATGCATTAAGCTTTCTGAAACAATATCTTTAAATTGCATTTAAAACAATAACTTTTAATTGCATGACTGGTGGGCGAGGAATAGCATAATTTAATGTCCTATAAATAAACTGTGATTTCGCATTTTCCAGATTGTGCTCTCATGATTGCATTGACGCAGGATGCATGTAATACCTCCAGGATACGGTCTCCAGACTTGAGCCGTCCATCTTTAACAGCAGCTCCGCGGGGCAGGATGCTCTTGACCATAATGGGTCCTGGACCATGAAGGGACAAGTCTCTGGTTACCACGGTGAATCCAAGGCCCTCCGTACCTGCAGACAGAGGAAGGCCAGAAATATTAAGCATGTATTTAATGACCCAGTGAACCAGAAAGCCTGAACTGAACATATTTTTCCCTGCTGTATGATGTAAAATAAATAACATTCTTCTAAGGTTCCAGTCATAGACAAAGTGTGTTTGCATTTACACCCACAGTTCACACTCACTGTAGTACCAAATAAAATTGAGATCTTTTTAAGACGTGTTGAAAAACTATGTAATTGTTCCACTAAAATCCCTTCCACAATGTCCTGAAGACTTGCTAACATTCTAAGGCTCAATTTTCAGCAAGGAATATTGCCTTGGATTTCACCTCAATACTATTCATACCAAGTGAATTGATCATTTTCGTCATGCCATGAGAAAATGTAGCAAACTTAAATGTATTATGTCTTATGTGTATTATGTATTATATATTTTTTTTTGCAATGAATATTCAACTTTTTTTTTTATTAAGAGGTTTGTAGCATTGGAAGTTTTTCTTTATTTTTTTTATTTGAATATTTGTCGAAGACAACTGCCAATGAAAATTCAATTTAAAGGTTTGGCAAAGAAAACTGCCAATGAAAGTTCCATTTAAAAGGCTTCTCAAAATTAAAATGTGAATATTTGAATTCAAATTTTGTCACTATGAATTTTTGAATTACGGATTTGTTTAAAAGTCTGTAACTGACATGAAAGAAACCATAAAACATGAAAGTACGTTGTCCAATATTATTGCATTAATTTTCAATATCTACTCCTAGTACATTTCATTAGAAATTTACTTCATTGTCAATAGAGTGTCACTATTATCACTGAAATCTGGCTTAGAAATTACTGACTACCAATATGGGTTTTTCAATAGCGGATACTGATGTCTGGAGAGCAAGATGGTGAAAATGATGCAAAGAATATATACATCTATATACGTGTATGTATATATAATGTATATATAACATTTAATGAGAGCATACAAGCACCAGCTACCCGTTATGACCCTCATAGATCTTTACAGACTGTATCCAGCTTATCCGATCCAAGATCAGGTCAAAAGGTCAGTGGTAGGCTGATGATAGCTTTCAAGCACTCTGGATTGATAACCTGTGTTTAAACTGTCGATTTCTCTGCAGAGGTTCGAACACCTCTGTTTCCAACCCTGCACGTTGATAAATGTTTCCTTATGGGGATTAGACAGCTCTGCACTTTAATTTCACACGTGAACACATCTACAGGAGACTAGAGATGCAGAGAGCAGGATACAGGATGAAGAGAGAGAGAGAGAAAGAGAAAGAGAGAGAGACTGTGTGAAAGAGGAGCGATAGAATCAATGACAAAGGGTGTGGTCTGAAAAAAACTGATTAGAGGAAGTGGAAGCTGAAAAGAGATGGAAGAGTGAATCTCACAGAAATATGTCAGGGTCACATTTCATCCAAAAATCAAGAGGAGAAAAAACTTATAATTTTATATTTAAATGCATAAATATTAATATTTAGTTATTTTTATATTTATTTCATACGAATTTGTTTTGTATATTTATTGCATACATACTAATATTTAGTTATAGTTATATTTATTGTATACATATTATTTGTTTTAATATTCATTGCATTATATTTATTACATTAAAAGCTATATTTATGTTTAGAATTTATTGCATAAATATTAATATTTTATGATTTTTATATTAAGAAAATAAATATTCCAGTTCTTATTACTGTTAAGACTATACTACTACTAAATACTTTTTATACAAACTTTTTATTCATTCATTCATTCATTCGTTTGTTTGCTTGTTTATTATTTATTTATTTATTGTTTGTAAAATTTGCATAAATTAAAAGCAGTAAATTAAAATTACAATTAAAATATTAAAAGCCCATTTATTCAGAAACGCAGTAAGAGAAGAAAGAAAAAAGAGGCTAAGAAAGTGATTCTCTCGCGAGTCTCTCATCCACAGGGACACGTGTGATTACTGAAGTCGAGAATTGCTCTGTTTCTCTCTCACACACACTTGAGAGAGAGATGTCATAAAGGATAGCGGCCAATCCAGCATAGTAAAGATGGCAAATGATGAAATCTCGAGTCCCAGAAGAGCACCTGACATTAAAGTTTTAAACAATAGCAGCTGTCAATCAGCTGAGAGGAGCGATACAGACAAAGAGGACAGAAAATAAGGAAGACGTTGCTATGCAGCAGTTTTGACAGGGCTCACGATGGCACCTTGTGGTCAACTGGATGGAGTTTCCACTATTCAAGCTTGAAATCAACATGAAATGACCTTCGCAACCCATTTTACTTGCATAATGTGGCATATTTTTGAGTGAAAAAATTATACAGAAAGAATTATTGTTAGAACTTTTTTAATTCAATGGGCTCAATTTTGAGTTGAACCCATTCAATTTTGAGTTCTCATTCAGCTTACCTTTCTTCAAATCGATCTTCATTTTCTTCCCAGGCTTTTTGTTGATCATATTAACTAGTGTGCCAAGGGCGGGGGTCTTTTTGGGGGTGGGGCTCTCACTGTGATCTTTCAGGGTCGGTGACGTGCTGACCGGAGGAGAAGACGTGGCTCTGCGATGATCTGTTTCAATGGGGGTGTGTCTTGCAGGCTGAATCTCCTCCTCCTTTTGGGGCGGGGTTTGTGAGGCAGGAGGCTCTGGAGATGGTGTAGATGTATTGCTTTTGAGTTTATGAACCAAGAAAGGACTCTTGACTTTAGGGACCACAGGGTTTGGTTCAGTGTTGTTGAAAAGCTGCCCAATGAGGCTCTTCTCATATTGGAGCCTGTTGGCGACAGGAAGCACCTCCAAACGCATGGTGGGTAAAGACATGGCTTGGCGAAACACCTCTTGAGACCTGAAACATTGAGAGCGAAAGCTTGTCGTACTGTTCTGTAATGCATATTTGTAGATAACATGAATACAAAGATATTCAGTGCTTCAAAGACTCAACAGCCTCCTTCATTAGCACCATTCAAGAGCCTTTTCCCTCAAGGACTTCCAGTGGGAATAACTTATCAGCACTTCCATCTTACTACATAAGAACTACGTGGAATTTACCTATAGGCTAGTGTTATTGTGTTAAAATTGCAAGCCAAGAAAGGTAGTGCATTTCAGCTTTTACAGGTAGTTCACAATAAGATTGTTAAGATGCGTTTAGAAAATAGATGGAAAATAAATGGACATTCAATAGAGTGAGTTGACTTCAACATGAGTAAAATAATATTTTTTTATCAATAACGTAAATTCTGAAGATTAATTCAAGGTTTTACAAACATTGTACAAATTCGTTCAGCTTGTATTTTACAAATCAGACCCACTGTAACATGCAAGTTATCGATTTTAATGCTGCTAAAACGGCTAATTTATTAATACTGATAGGCAAAATAAACAATATAAACAATTCAGTTTTTTGCCCAACTATATGGTGTTTACTGGTACCAAACAATATACTGATCAAAGATTGTTATATATGCGAAATAATGGCATGTTAATATGGAATTTAAATGGACTGATGCCAAATTTCATATAACACAATTGAAACTGATGCAGTTTCTGATTAGTTGTCCCTCACGGTCCTATTTTCATTTGCATAAAATTAAATATGGCACTATGCTAACTACGTTCAATTGATGTGTGGCCAATGACTTCTAATCCAGTCTGGCTTCGGTATCTGACCTATATTTTATAAAAACATACAAAATGGATAGCATAACTAACCACAGAAGTCATGTGACAAAGGATACAATTCAAGTTGTGTTAAATGTGTTGAACATAATTTTTGGTGGTGCTGTGGTAAAAGGTTTTACCACAGTTAAGTGTCTTGTTCAAAATGATGTAAAACTCCCTTAGGCATGGTTAAAATAAATAAATAAAGATCACTGGAATTAAAAGGAAATTCAATAGGGTGAATTTCCATTTCATGCTGACATCAATCTTAGTAAAATCACTGGGACTGAATCTCTCCATTTCTTAAAGCTGCAGTCCGTAAGTTTTGCCTCTTTGTCGCCATCTCGGTTTGAAAACCTGCAATTGCAGCTATGTGCGTAATTATCTTCCTTGCGTGGGTTGTGCAGCGGCACAGCTCCAGCGCGGATTAATCTAATGTTTTGAGGAGTATGTGTGGCAGTCAGTCACAGCACCGGTGTGGATATTGTACTTTGCACTCACAGATTCTCGCCTACGTCTTGGAATATATGACCCAAATAAGCATCTTCACCGGATATTGTCATCTGAACAAGTAAGTAACAAGTCTGCCATGTTTGTTCTGACTAACTGAGGAAAAAAGCATTACAATAAATCATGCTACGAATAGTTTCATAAACTCACAATCCTTTCTGGATTACAATCCGCCATCAAAATGATATATTTCATTATTCCAGCTGCTGTGAGAAAAGGCTATAAACGATCGGCCACCTGCAGGATCCTCACATGCGATAGCCTAGTAGCCGGGACATCTTCTTTATGTTTACAGACGTGACGTAATGATGCAGCAGCATGCTCGAATTTCCAGCGAAAACCTACCCGTACCACTCAAATTAGAAAACATTATTATAAGATGACCGTTGTGAATCGGGCTAAAGTAAGGCGATAGTTTCGAACACTTGCTGGTTATGTACTTGCTCAAATATTGATTTCAGATCATTTTTAACCAAAAAAAAGTTACGGACTGCAGCTTTAACTGTTCGTAAAATCAATAATATAAATTCTGACGCTTAATTTGAGTTTTTACAAACAATATACACACAGATTTGTTCAGCTTGTATTTCACAAACCAGGCTCTCAAGTTAAACAGAATAGCGCTTTTAATGTCGACGATAGACTTGATCGGTGTCGCGTCATAGCTATGTGGGCGGAGTCAGCGTGGGGGAAAACAGTCCTTTCCCCCTCATTGGAAAAGCATGGTGTTGACTCAGAATGGCCTACATAAAATCATTTCTGCCGCTCGACAGAGCAACATACGTATAAAAACTCAGCCGTATTGGGTCGGACTGTCCGTACGGTATCTGTGATTGGACAAACGACCCAACGGAATGGCCAGAGGTGTCATTTCCCGACATTTTTTGTTACATAATTGAACAAGAGACAGCTTACTACAAGCCTATAGGAGACGGCTTGTGAAAGTAAACATTTGTCGTTTTGTTTTGCTCAATTTAAATTAAGTGATCAAGACTTGAGTAAAAGCCTATCGTACTTTCTTATTGATATATTAAAAATATTTTTAACATTGACAAGACAAGTAACATTAAGGTCCACTTTATGTGGAATTTAATGGGCTTTAGTCAGGATAGATGCGAAATTAAATTTTTCAGAAATTATGAAATTTTTACTTTTCAAAACATGACAAATCGAATCACAATTTAGATTCTGAGCTATCCATTTATAACATTTTAAAACAGTTATCAACATCAATATGAAACTAAAAACTTACAAACATACAGTACACAATTAAAGGCTAACATTACTAAGACTAGATATCAGAGATATTATGTTGCATTGAATGTGATGAGCACACTTTTCGGAGTTCAGTTCAGGGCACTGCAGAAGTCAAATTGACTTGCTTGACTGAAGTCTTTTTTCGTTTCTGCTTCAAAATCTTTAACTCTCGTAACCATTTCTTCAACTCTTCCTCTAATAGTGCCACTTCGTTTAATCTATCGCCCTTTTGAAGGCTGTCCGATACCACTAAAGCCACTTAATAGGGCAATTCCACACTCGTGGCAAGAGCAAACCATTCTCTTTTGTTGTGTTAGTCATAGCACTGAAACTCTGCAGAAAAGTGAGGAAAATGAGAGAGGATGGATAGATAAAAAGGTTTGGTACGATTGTGTTTGCACGTTATAAGCAAGTAGGACAGAGATCAATCGCATGAAAGCAAAAACAACACAAAAATGGATAATGAAAGAAGAGAATGAAGTGGAGAGAAAGAGAGCGGATGGATGATTAGTAATCCACATGACAACAATGAAAGTGTGACGGATGGAAGAGTCAGACACTCACTGAGCAAAGGATTTGTCTATTAACTCGGTGTCATTGATCTGCACGATGCACTCGTCCTCTTCAAAGACCCCCTCTTGTTCGGAGCGGCTGTTCTTCTCGATGGCTCGGATATTTAGACCCAGAGTCCTGATGACACAAGCAACGAACAGATTTCAGACAGGGAAGGGCATTCAGAAAATAACTGAAGATATCAACTGTACATAAGAAGCAGAATTCCAACTGAAAATAACTTATATAAACGTCTATAGTTTTGTTAGTACAATAAATAAAATGGTGCTGGAACTGTGGCCAAGTGGTTTGCTTGTTCTCCAAATGCAGTGAGAGGTTACATACATATACATTATATAAAGTAATATAATTAAAAAAGTTATAAAGCATAATTGTAATAAAATGTAATTAAATTAAATATCTAAAAATGGAAAAACAGAAAAAAGTAAATGCTAAAAGTATATTAAGTATAAAAAATATATGGAATATGGTATATGACACACCAGGAAAAAGTTATTTACTTTTTTTAATGATTTTAATGAAAATATCAGATATATTCTAGAAACTTTCTCTGAAATGTCTCTCGATATTAGAGGCATCAGCATCTTTCTGTTTTGAGAACTGACCTGGTCAGGCAACCGTTTCAATTATCAAGATTTTATTTGCTGTTACTTCCTTTAAGACTTTAGGGTTTCCTTTGGGTCTTACACACCCTAAAGAGTAGTTCACCAGGCCACCACACAGGTTTGCCCACCTACAGAGAGAGGATCTATTTCAATCCGGAGCTCAACAGGGTGCAGAGGCCTCAACAACAGGAAGCTTGTCATCGTCTACCCAGGGAGGACTTCCTGTCATGCAACATGTGTGTGTCCTTGCCCTGAGAACTTAACTTTTGACCTACTCATGTAGTCTGAAAGAGCCATTCTCCTAGCTACTTCCTGTAAGTGTTTGAGTGCGTGTCTATGGGCAAATATGAATGGGACACTGTTGACTTATAACATTGAAATTACAAAAGTGAAACTACTAAGTAATCCAAGCATTCCACAGATAGCGTTTATAATTGTGAAATAAGATGATGCTAGTCCTTTATAGAGTAAAATATATTTATTTTATTCACATTTACTTAAGTTAGACTAATGGTCAATTAATATTGTTTTATATAATTGCCAATGCTGAAGAAAATGCTAAAAAAAAATTATTTTTTTTATCATAAATAAAACACTCAAAGTGAGAAAACATTTAAAAAAAGGTCAACTTAATTATAGTAATTGAGAAATGGTCAGCTAGCATTGTTTTATATAATGATAAAAAAAATTTTTTAAAAAGAGTCAATACTCGAGAATCAAAAGGGAGAATTTGTATAACAGTGCACCTCATGGTCCATTATCAGGCAAATGTGTGAAGACACCATGAATCTCTGTCTCTCTCTCTCTCTCTGAGTGTGTGTGTGTGTGTGTGTGTGTGTGCGTGTGTGTGTGTGTGTCTGTGTGTGTGTGCGCGCGCGCGCGCTTTACCTTCCACTCAGTGAGGAGCTGTATGATATGACTTTGATGCCCAGAGGTCTGAGGTCTCCAGAAATATCCACCGTCCGTGTTAGACTGCTGCAGAAAAAAAGCACAATGGTCACGATGGTTAGCTACATTTTTCTTGACAGAAAAAAGGAAAATGACTTCCACAAACTGAAAAATATATTTTGGAAGTGGAAACTTTCAGCGGAACGCAATTACATTAGCAGAACAACAGTCACATGTCAAAATGACAAGCCAAAAAACCATTACTGTGGGAAGTGTCTTCGATATCAATGGAGTGCTCCTCCTGTCACCTGCATCATTTCCTCACGGACGGACAGACGGACAGATAGAGCGATAGATAGAGCGATAGAGCGATAGATAGATAGATAGATAGATAGATAGATAGATAGATAGATAGATAGATAGATAGATAGATAGATAGATAGATAGATAGATAGATAGATAGATGATAGCATTGAACCAACATCCGCATCAATGTACTTGCATAGAGTATGTTTCTGGCCTAAAGCAGTCAATGCATTTCAGACACAAACCCACAGACAAAAGCATTCACAAAAGTATTCACCAGCTACGTCTGTCAACACACACTGAAAATCCATTTGCTGTTTATGTCCTGTGGGACAACATTAATGATCAAACAAATGAGTCAGAAGCCAGCAGAGACACTGCCATTCAGAGTGTCTGAGATGAGAGCCAAAGGCAAAAGTGCCTACCTGCATCTCTCAGCACAATAAAGACAGAATGGAGGAGAGGAGAAGATGAGAGACAGAGGGGGATGTGAGCGCTTCCATCTTTGTCAGAAATCTTTTTTTTAATTTCTGGAAGATTCAGATAAGCTAGACAAATTGCAGTTACTTACTAACTAAAACCTTTTTATTTGATTTATTTTACCTATTTTAACTTATTATGGATGGATGATAGACCCTTTTATTTATTTTACAAATTTAATTTAATTTTAAACTATTTTTATTTTAAATTATTTCATTTTATTTTATTTTTTGTGGTGTTTTCTAATGTTTAGGGATGCGCCGATCCGATATTCATATCGGATATCGGCTCCGATAGTGCCATTTTTCTCGGATCGGGTATCGGTCAGAGAGAGCCGATCCAAATCCGATTTTTTTTTTCTCGATTGTGTGAATTATTCTGTGTTACTTCTGAAGCCATACGATAGCTTAATGTGAGCTACATATGAATATTTAAGTCCTTACATTAAAGTTCACACAAACTCTTTTCTCCGCTGTGGCTGTCAGTCATTCGTTCAGCCTTTAACGTTAAACCCTGGTCGCGTTCGTTTACAGCAGTCAGCTCAGTAAGCTATCTCCAAGATCATTCTGTGTTCCCATTATACTTGATTTGTAAATACATGTCTATGATTTTGCAAAAAGTACTTTATCTTCTTGCCGGAGTTTAATGTTGTTTTGTTACTTGCTACCGGGTGTCTGTGAGAACAAAACACGGGCGTAGAAAAGACTATAAATAGTTTTTAACGTGCCAGACAGACAGACAGACAGACAGACAGACAGACAGACAGAATTTCAGTCTGACGAGTAAACCAAAAAATATACTAGCCAATGGCGATTCAATTGCCAAGGTGTCCATTGAGGGTTGACTGTATAAAAACAGTTCGTGCTGCACTGTTTTTGTTTTGTCCTATCGTATCATATGTTGTTGCCTTATTAAAAAATATGCTATACATTTAAAAGAAATGTATTTAAATTTTATAGTATATACTTATATATAAATACATTCATGAATGTTTTTAATGAATGGATTTTATAATAATACAAATATCAATGTGTAACATTTTACCATATTTAGTGCAACACTTTTATTTGTTCCCCAAAAAAAAAATGTTTTCACTAAATGTTTGGATTTCTAAAATTATTGTGCACTGATTTTTCTAGAATAACTTTTGCTGCCGAATTATCCACTAACCTAGTTTATGATA